GACGACTACTGCTACTGCTACGGCTACTGCTACTGCTATCGCTACTCGTACTCATACTCATACTCCTGCTGTTCTTTGTACTACTACTACTACTACTACTACTACTACTACTATTACTACTACTACTCCTGCTGCTGCTGCTGCTGCTACTGCTGCTGCTGCTGCTACTACTACTACTACAAATATTTATAATACTAATAAGCATAATCATATTAATGTTACCACTCCTACTGCTACCGCTACCGCTACGGCCTCTGCTACTGCTACTGCTGCTGCTCCTGCTCCCGCTCCTGCTACTGCTACTGCGGCCGCTGGGCTGCTGCTGCTGCTGCTGCTGCTGCTGCTGCTGCTGCTGCTGCTGCTGCTGCTAGTTCTTGCTTTTTTCACAGACCATTCCTAATGGACTTGGGGTTTAGGATTATGATAAGGACTACGAAACGATAAGGGTTACTCTAGGAGTCTAGGAGTCACTATATCGGTCTAGGGTTTGGGGTTGGAAACCCAGAAGCCATGACTGCTCGGCCCTCGACACAGAAGCTGTTTTCTCAACCCCACGCCCTGGACGGCCCGTACCATATATGGAAGATAGATCAAAAGTTGGGGAAACATCAGTCAACACACGACACACAGTGTTCTGCTCATCGTATCATGCGGCTCGGAGCGCTGAGCTCCAGGCTATCAGCCTGAACCCCACGCCCTGATATCTAAGTGCACCCCAGCATCAAAATTTTCATGAAGCACACACAGGGAGAACCTGAATGCCTACGCCCTACAAGCCTTCAGCTCAGGTTGGAGGGCATCTTCAAGGCTATCGATGACACTGGTAGTGGCATCATTTCAGAGGAGGGACTGGGGGGCCGTTGGTGCAGTCCAAGGTTTGGAGGCTCAAAGATTGCAATAATGTAGGGGTTTGGGGGGTTCCTTATTACGATTGCCGTAAAACACACACCAAAACCCTATTCTACTTATTAAGGCCCCTATATTATCCGGATTACAAAGTTCGTCCTCGTTACACTGAAGGACTGCCCTCAGTGCCTACTCGAACTCTGGGATTTGGGGTGTAGGCTTCGAGCTACCCCTAACCTCCCAGGTACCTACTATATAGGGCCCCAGGCGATCTAGTGCCCTATATTGTAGGTACCTGGGGGATTAGGGTACAGTGGGGCACAGGTGCATGTCTTTCTTTGCGTCCACAGTTTGGACCGCCGTGAGAAGTCTACTCCAAATCAAAATTGAACCCTACAGCCGAAACCCCTAAACCCTAAACCCTAAACCCTAAATCCTAATTGAACCCTACAGCCGATTTTTGTTCAGCTGTATCCGTTTCGCGCTGGTGAAATGCAACCCGTTCACCCTAAGGCTCCATGTACCCATATAGTAGATACTTAGGCCTTAAAGTACCTATATAGGGACCCCTTTAAGGCTTAAGTATCTACTATATGGGTTCATGGAGCCTTTGGGTCAGGAGGCAGGAAAACACAGCACCCCGAGAGAAGGTGATAGAGAGAAAGACGCAAGGGTACTTAGAGGATCATGGCTAGAGCTTTGAGGGCGGTTTAGGGTTTAGGGATTAGGGTTTAGGGTTTAGGGTTTAGGGTTTGGGGCTTCGAGGGTACTTGGAGGATCATGGGACTTAGTAAGTGAGGTTATACGTCCCTGAATTGGGGTGATAAGTAGATGTAAGTACAGTTACCTTAAGTATAAGCCTGCTTACTAAGTCCCATGATCCTTTAAGCAGGAGGAGTCTTCGTACCCAGGGAAACGAACATCACTTTCATGAGCGATACACCACATGTAATCATACAGAGCCCTTGTACTAGTTTGTGCCTATACTACAGTGTTACACTGTACTATACTCCACTCCACTCCACTCAACTCCGCTCCTATCTATCTAACTGTCTATCCATCTATCTATCCATCTATCTACGTCGCATTCTTGCACCGTTGCTGTTATAAGGATGACGAGTGGTATAAGCCTCGGTTTCAGAAGTGTTGCGCTCGCTGGGATGAAGATTTTTGGAAAGACGAGGTTTTCCGATTTGGGGTGTTTTGGGACAGTAATGCTGACCTGAGACGGAGCCCCCAAGCATGCTACATAGGGTGTGCCTGAAACTGTCTCCAAAACCGTGTTGTGATGTTCAGACTCCTTCCAGGAGCGACTCACCACGATCCTGTCGAACCCGAAGGTGGTCCTGCGATTGAGTTGAAGCATCTTAAGGAACTGAACGTGCACTGTCGTTACCACGCGCCATTTTGTATGCGTCTCTGCTCTTACTGATCACGCTGATGATGCTGATAATATGCTGTTCATGATGAAAACGGTTCTAACGATGGCGACGTTTGCGCTGCTGGGAAATGTGTGTTGCTTCTGCTGTTGCCGTTGGTGCAGTTGCTGGTGCACATGCAGGGTACAGAGACAGCAAGGAGCCCTTTAATTACTGGTGTTCGTGAATTGAAGGATCATGGGGTTATTCATAAGTAGCCATACATATAATAATTACTGATAGCCCCAGTTAAAGTACTTATACTTACTTATAACCGCAATTAACCCTAAACCCTAAACCCTAAACCCTAAACCCTAAACCTACTTATACTTACTTATAGCCCCAATTAAAGTACTTATAACACCTACACACCAAGGCCCAGGACCCTCCCCAGAGCCCGTAGATCCGCCCAGGGAGAAGCTGGTAGCCGGCAACTGTTCAGGGGTTCAGGGTTTAGGGTTTAGGGTTTAGGGTTTAGGGTTTAGGGTTTAGGGTTTAGGGTTTAGGGTTTAGGGTTTGGGTTTGGGTTTCGGGTTTAGGGTTTAGGGTTTAGGGTGCCATGGCCGATAAACAGACAGCTGTCGAGCGGATTGTTACGCGGTCTGAACTGCACACTGCATGGCAGGTGGCGGCCTACTTTCAGACGATGGACATTGATGTCCATGAGGGGAAAGCTCTCTTCCACGTGTTGACACTGGGGCGACAATCTGAAAAGTTCTTGATACCTATCTAGTAGAATGTAAGGTCTCTATGTTAGGAATCACCATAAACCCTAAGCCCTTAAACCAATGCGATTTGGAAAGTATCCCCCATGACTGTATTAATACAGGGCCGCAGGACGCAAGCAGTAGCATCCGAGTCCAAACCAGGTTAGGGTTCCTGACAAACCCAGACCTCCGAAACCCTAGACCCCCGAAACCCCTAGACCCCGCAACATAAACCTCAGAACCTTAAACCCTATAAGCCCTAACCTTGGTCCGTCATCCTCCTTCGTTTTGCGCCTCGATAGCAACTGAGGAACAACGGTGAAGGTGGCAAAACGGGACGGCGTTGGGTCCTACACGCTAAATCCCTAACTTATGGTGCAGCATTGGGGGCCTCGAGCTAGAGCAAGCTCTCTTCGGATGTAGAATTCGATTGCATTGTGTCTTCGTATGTGCCGTTTCCGAGAGCTTGTCATCAATGCTGCTCCTCAAGATGATAATATGGGGGGGCCTTGATAATGACCTATACTATTTTGGGGGTTCCTTGTTACAGTTATAGTATAATGAGCCCCAGAACCCTATTCTAACTATTAAGGCCCCTAGATTGGGGGCTGCTAGAGTTCCGGGACGGGAGACGGGAGATTCGGGTGTGCTGCTAGGGGGCGCATGGCATGCCGGTTGCAGAGGGAGACGAAGATACCATCGAGAGAGGCACTCCTGTACAGCATGTTAGCTTACTTGGAGGATCATGGGACTTAGTAAGTAAGGCTGTAAGTCCCGAAATTGGGGGTTTCAAGTAAATATAAGTACAGTTACCTTAATTATAAACCTACTTACTAAGTCCCATGAACCTTTAAGTAGTTTGAGAACCTTGATCCCCTAAACCCTAAACTCAAAACCCCTAATATAGGGGCCGATGATCCTGAAACCCCAAACCCTAAACCCTAAACCCTAAACCCTAGACCCGACAAAAAGGTAGCATCCTAACCAAGGAGTTGCCATGACCTTGACATGCTCGTGCAGTCCCCATGCACACCGCGATGGTAGGGTGTATAGGGTTTTGGATTTAGGGTATAGGGGTTAGGGTTTAGGGTTTAGGGGTTGGGGTTCAGGGGTTTGGGTTTAGGGTTCAGGGTTTAGGGGTTTAGGGGTTTAGGATTTAGGGTCATCAACATTTTACCATCCTGATCTGCTTCTTCATCAGCATCATGGGTAGTATCCCCTAAACCCTAAACCCTAAACCTAAAATGCAACAGCTCATCGTTTGTTTTTCGACCTTTACTTGAGTACCGCCGTCGCTTTGGCATTTGCATTCTCGAGCATTTGACTTTGACGTGGCGTTGCCAAAGCTGCTCTTCCTCGTACTGCAAACTGGTGTTGCCGCTGTTTGCTTTGCATGTTTTCCTTCTTCTGCAGGTGGTGTTTCGCTGGACGAGTTCATCGACGGAATATTGAAGTGCCACTTGGAATGAAGCCGGGGTCACAAGGCTTGTCTGTGAGCTTGGTCCGCTGATGGATTCCTCTAAACCCTAAACCCTAAAACCTAAAACTCTAAACCCTAAACCCTAAACTCTAAACCCTAAACCCGAAACCCTAAACCCAAATTAACGTCCTGTGAGGGCCTAGTAGGCGCAGTCAGCAGCTGCCTGCAGTAAGCACGGCGGTTCGCCTGACATGTATCCTGTTTCATGCTGTACCCTTTCTGCTATGCCGCGGAAAATCCACCTAAACAAGCCCTCGCATTTTAGAACATGTTTTGACTTAGGGGGTGGGTTCACGAGCAAGAGCAGGAGCCAGAGCAAGAGCAGGACAAAGAGCAAGAGCAGGAGCAAGAGCAAGAGCATGAACAGGAACAAGAGTAGGATCAGGAGCAAGAGCAAGATCCCCCAAATGTGACAGTAGAGATCAGAAACATCTTAAGGCACTTGGTATCTTATCGGAGGACAGGGGTGGGGGGAGATGAATTCTGTCGGCGCCATCGAGGCGCAGGTGTTGCTGCTTTGAACTACCAAGACACACTTTTTCCAGGGTCCCCATACACTCTATATTAGAGCATATATAATAAGACCCTGCAATCAAGTAGGCTATTGGTTGTTTTGGGTGCGTTAGTCTTAGTTCTCCAATACCCAACCTTTAAACATTTTCGGGTTATAGTTTAGTAGCAATCTGAAAGTTTAACCTTTGATTTCCCTGGCTTATTGGGGAAGTAAGTAGTTACCAGCATTGAAACTTCCATTCCTACGAGGGTAGTTCTCTAAATTGGGGTCCCTTTTCAGGTCCCCAATATAGCACGGCGCCCTTGCAAAAAAGGATCCTAAAAGGGGCCCTAATTTAGACAACTACCCTAAACCCTAAACCCTAAACCCTAAACAACTACCCACGAGTCGACTCCAATCTCCGGCGGCTTTGACACAGGCAAAGGCCCTGCGCGTGCCATCGACCAAGTCGCCATGCACGCGGAGATAAAGGCGTTGGACTTCAAACTGACGAGGCATCGGCTGACGGTTTAGGGTGTAGGGTTTAGGGTTTAGGGCTAGAGTAAACCAAAAAACGTTGGAAACCGGAGTAAGGACAATTAGTGCTGGGATTCCCTATACAGTACTCTTAAGGATTGAGGCTACGGCTATTGGGTTTCCAACTACTGTATGTCTACGCCGTAATCGCTTATTTTCAAAGCCCCAGTGCATAGCAAAACCACAGCAGTATCCTGTAAACCCCAAGCCCGGAACCCTAAACCGTAAACTCCTAAACCCTAAGCCCTAAACCCTAAACTCTAACCACAAAGAGCCAACCTCAGAGCCCTAAGCCCAATATTATACACCCTGGGCCGTAAACTCTAAACCCTAAACCCAGTTTAGAATCCAGAGGCCTCCTTAAACCCCAGAAAAGCTGTTGTGTTTCCTTTGCGGTTATCCTGGCAAACCCTAAACCCTAAACCCTAAACCGTGCTATCCTTCTCCACTTGCCATGACCCCTCCTCCCTGCTTTGGTATCCCGCTTTGGGGTGTTGGGGTTTCGAGCCGGTGAAGATCTGGGCGCAGGGTTTAGGGTTTAGGGTTTAGGGTTTCGGTTTGTGCTACATGCTGCGGCTTGGGTTTGCGGCCATGTATGAATCCTCTTGACCAGACATCCTTAACAGGATCTACTAGATGTACTGTTAAAGGGTGTCCTCATTCTCGAATGAACAGCCATCAGCAAGACATCGTCCAGAATACTCTGATTTCGTGAGCATGGCCTGGGACGGAATGACCGAAACCAGTCGCCATTTTTGTAGTTGGGAGCTAAACAGCATACGAGCCTTTGCGACGGAACTTTGGGGACTTGAATAGCCAAGTGATGAAAAACCTCAACCCTGATCCCTAAACCCTAAACCCTAAACCCTAATCCCTAAACCCTAAACCCTAAACCCTATACCCTAAACCCTATACCCTAAACCCTAAACCCTGATCCCTAAACCCTAAACCATAAACGAAGTGGCAGGGGAGGCTCGGCTTCACTGCATTGGCCCTGCCAAGCCGCAAAGGGTCCTATGTATATACTGTAAGGTTCAGGGTTTAGAGTTTAGGGTTCAGGGTTTAGGGTTTAGGGTTTAGGGTTCAGGGTTTAGGGTTTAGGAAATGCGGGATTCTTTTCCGAGATCATAAAACCCTATGCCCTAAAATCCTAAACAATCATAATAGGAATTACTTGGAAAGCCTGCATTCTGCCATATATGTACTTACAGGACCCTTTGGGAATTATGACTGGCTTAGGTGTAGATCGGGGTTCAGAAACTTGCTTCGGGTTTTGCAAGACGTGTGGACAGTACCTATAGTCTCCATTGTAGTTCCTTTTTTGGTTTAACCATTTTTATACATTTGGGATCCTAAAGGGGGCCCCAAACCCTAAACCCTAAACCCTAAACCCTAAAAAGGAACTACCATGGAGACTATAGGTACTTCTGAGCCTTGTCAATGCAATGCCTCTGAAATCCAGCGGAGGCTTGTTCGAACGCTGCCTGGCCGATGGTGTCCTCAACAAGGGTTTCAGGGTTTACCACCCCGCCGGGAGTTCAAAGAGTCTATGTCTATAGGGTTTAGGGTTTAGGGTTTAAGGTTTATATGTGGTTGTTTGCAAGAGCGTTTTAAGGTGTCCGATTCTTGTTGCTCTTGGTGGTAACGGTTTTGTTCAGGCATCCGACTGTTTTTTTGCTGGTGGCATTGATATGTTCGGTTCTTCTTCGACTGGTTTCCTGTAGTGTGTGCTGACACGATTTAACTTCTAGATAGACCCTAAACCCTAAACCGTCGGAAGTTGAGGGTGTGGTTCCTGCTTGTCATATCTGATCCCCGAGCAGCCTTTGCGGGTTTGGATTCCGCTGAACCTGATATAGAAGCCTAAATAACTAAAAAATGTATCCCCCAACCCCATTCTAATCTATGGTGCTTTCCGAGGAGTGGTAAAGATTTTAAAGCAAACTTACCGTCCACTCTCATACGCTTCCTCGCCCACCCCCCTTTCCGGCACCCATGAGCTCATAGGGTTTGGGCTTCTGGATTTAGGACTGGGTGTTCTTCGCGGCCACCCCGTAACCTGCACCCCTAGTGTACATTACTTGAAGGATCATGGGACTTAGTAAGTGAGGTTATAAGTACCTTAATTGGGGTTTTAAGTAATTATCAGTCTAGTTACCTTAATTATAACCCTAGTTGCTAAGTCCCATGATCCTTTAAGTAGTGTACATCAGGGACCCGTAAATCCTAAACTCGAGAAGATGAAAAAGGCTTGACATCTCTGTCATCTTAAACGCCTTAAACTCCCATCAGCTCCAAAAGACTGCTTAAAGGATCATGGGACTTAGTAGCTAGGGCTACAATTAAGGTAACTATACTGTTAGGGTTTAGGGTTTAGGGTTTAGGGCTTATAATTACTTATAACCCCAATTAAGGTACTTATAACCTCACTTACTAAGCCCCATGATCCTTCAAGTGAAAACCCCTATGCTTAAGCCCGAAACCTTGCGACCTAAACCTTCGGGTGCTGAACCCTTCTAAGACAGCCCTAAACTGTCGACGGAACCTGGAGAATACGGCAGCGTTGCATACATATGACATAAACGGTTATGTCAGTCAGCCATTTACTATTTTGTGCATACGTACTCTAAACCCTAAACCCAAAGCCGTTGTTTACTAATTTGCGCATTCGAGGGGTCCTTAAAGGTTCCTACCAAGCTCTTACGTATCTGTAAGCCCCCATAGGTACTGAGTGCAGTCCTTGGCAGATGCAGTCCTTGGCAGAACCTAAACCCTAAACCCGAAACCCTAAACCCTATCCCAAAGGCCCCAAGGACATATGTTCGGCCTTTGAGCCCAAGACCATACTTGCTTATGTAAGGCTTACATAAGCAAGTTAAGGCTTGTCCCTAGGACTCTAAGGACTCATATGTTAAGGCTTTTGGGCCCAAAGACCCTATTATATAAGGCTTTTGGGCTATTTTGATGCTAAGGGTTTTTTGCTATTTTGAGCCTCAGGGCGTTTAGGGTTTGGGGTGTGGGGCTTAGGCTATCCCTAAAGCGTAGCCCCGAAGATCTGGATCGAAAAGTCGTAAGTTATGAGTCCTTAGAGCCATGGGGCTCAGGGTTTAGAGTTTACCCCAAGGGTCCAAAGGACCCAATCATCAGGTACTTAGGTTTCGGATAGTAGTTATGTAGGTTACTATTTGGGAGAGTATATGATTATTAGGTACTTGGACCCTTAGGGTATAAATCCCCTTAAGCCCCACTTTTGTTCAAAGGGGTCATGGGCTTATGAATTCGAAATAGAAGGAGGTTATTAGGGGCTTAGGTAGGGTCTAGGGGCAAGTTTCTAAGGCTGGATAGTGCCCGCGTCATCTCTGCCTCGCGCTCCTTCGTGGACAGTGGCAACATGAAGTCTGTCGCGGAGCACCTCAAGGTCACGGTTTAGGGTTTAGGGTTTACGGAGTTCTCTAAACTACTTCAAGGATCATGGGACTTAGTAACTAGGGCTATGTATAAGTAAGGTAACTATACTTATAATTACTTATAACCCCGATTAAGGTACTTATAACCTTCCTTACTAAGTCCCATAATCCTCCAAGTAGGGTGCCTTTAGGATCCTTATTTATAAGGGTGCCGTACTATATTGGGGACCTAAAGGGGGCCCTAATTTAGAGAACTACCCATGTGCTGTTGTGGCTTACCCAAACCTTCAAAAGGCCCTTCCTTGAGGATTTATACCTTTAGGGTTTAGGGTTTAGGGTTAGGGGTTTAGGGTTTAGGGTTTAGTAGCACCCCTAATATGGCTTACGAGGTAGTTTTTAATTGAGGGCTTTTGGATAGGTATTTTAGGGTAGCGGAGATAATATAGGGGCCTTATTACTTCAAACATGGTTATCGGCCCCATTATATTACATTTATAGTAAGGAACCCCCAAAATAGTAGTGATAATCATTGAGGCCCCTATATTAGTCACACCCACGCTGCCAGCAAGCATCTTTGTCTTGGTTTTTGTCGGCTTTCAGAGGTCCGGTAAGGGTCATTGGCGTTCGAAACACTACCAGTGGGGGTGTTCGTGGCGGTCGCAATTCGTCGTATAGTAGTCGTCGTAGAAGTCATTATGGCAGTGGAAGTGCTTGCGGCCGTCCGACGTGCAGACAACGCTCATTGCAACGGCCATTTCTGTTTACTGCACATGTTCAGGCCTTGGGTCGTGTTTGGCATGGCCGCCATTATAAAGCCCGCGATTTCTCTCAGCTCTTGCCAGGTCTTCCGCATGGACGAGGCGCAGACGCGTCGTCGACTATCCTCGGCAAGCCTTACACGCTGACTGCAAAGCCAGGAATCGTTTGCCCGATGTATATCCTTCCCCTATAAGGGCCCATGTACCCAAATAGATATACTTTGGCCTTATCGTAGTCCCTATATAAGCACTTTTGGGCCAATGTATATACCATTTGGGCACATGGACCCTTAGGGGCTTCTTCACGTGCTGCAAAGCCAGAAGCCGTTTTCCTGTCCTATCTGCATTCTGAGAAGATTCCGTGGGTTGAATATCGAACTGTGGCTGAGGTGCTTGTTTGACGTGTCGCACAGCAACCCTAAACCCTATACCTTTAAACCCTAAACAGACTTTTGGCCGAGTCCATGGTGAAGCCCAGGGTCTTCAGAATGCAACACGTGGGACCAAGGCTCTTTCGCTTTGTGGTGGGCAGGAAGCCACAGAAGCACTGCACCGAGACCTCCCGGGCTGTTAAGGATGAACCCAAAGCCCTAAAAACCCTAAAAGCCCTAAAACACCTAAAACACCTAAAAACTTTAAAACCCCTAAAATCTGGGCAGCAGGAGGTCTGGGTGCATGCTGTACGACAGCGTTTGACTGAGGATCACTGCCACGAACCTGCTTCGGGTTCAGTGTTCAGGGTTTAGGGTTCAGGGTTTAGGGTTTAGGGTGGACAAAATACCAACTTCGGTGGCGATTATGTCTCGTCATTGGCTCCTTGTGAGCTGTCGTGTCTCTAGAACATCTCTGTGGTTGCACGGGCTGAGAGCTCTCAAGCTTCAGGGGGACCCCTCTGCCCATCATTGAATTCCAAGTGCGCACATCACCCAGAATCTTGGCTGCTTGGGTGCCCGAAACGCCTTGAGCCCTAAACCCTAAAAGCCCCAAAAGCCCTAAGCCCGAAAGCCTAAACCGGAAATCATGACAGGGTCTTGGGATTTGGGTTGCCATAGACCTGAATCTCGCAACCTTATGCTCGGACTCTGCAGCCATGTGGCAGTTCAAGGAGCCAAGGGCTAGTTTCGGGCTCAGCGGTGTATAGGGCCACAGTGGGGTTCAAGGTTTAGGGTTGGGTTTAGGGTTTAGGGTTTAGGGTTTAGGGTTCCATAGTAGAAGCCGAAAACAGGAAATCCGATAGCCTCGATCCTTGAGGGTAATGTATAGGGAGTCCCAGCACGATGTGTCTTTAAAAAACCGGTTGTCAACTTCCTGGGGTTTGCTGCACACGCTATATGGGTAAGGTTGTATAACAGCGGCCAGGATCGGGAACACAGAGTAGGACGGTTTGAAGCTGCGGGGTTTGGGGCTAGAATGTTGGTTGCGGCTTTGACCACTGGTTATTCCTAGGCCCAAAACCCTAAAACCCTCAAGCAAGGCAAGTAAGTCTGAGTGGCCGAGCCAGTGCCTTTCTGCGAAGCAACAGGGTTTAGGGTGTAAGGTTCAGGTGCAAGTCAGCCATGCAGATGCCCATGAGAGATTCGCCAGGAGGCGTTATGTTGCAACTGGGCGCAATAGTTGAAGTTGCAACGGGTTTAGGGTTTAAGGTCGCGCTGTGCCGTTGCCGAGGCTGTGCATGGCGGCAGTAGCACTCTACGAGCCTGAATACAATCGGTTCCTTTCATGGCTCTGGCCTTACGCATGAGAGAAGGGTTTTTCGCATGTATAGTTTGGGCATTTTCAAAACAGCTGCGGTAACGAATTCTAGGCACTGAAACTGCCTATTGTGCAGATAGGGGTCTATGCTCGGACCCCTATACAACGGTTTAGGGTTATCCCATGTGAAGACGATGCTGGGCTGTTTGAAATTGGTGGCACGGCACTCAGCAAAGGGGTGCAGGCTACCTTTTGCCATCGGGTTTACTGGGTTCGGGAATACCATACTCTAACACTCTGTTTCGAGGACCGTAATTTGTGAAGGAACCATCATGAAGTAAAAGTATTGCGCTATTCTCCGTGGTTCCTTAACAGCCCAGTGTTGCAAGCGCGCAAAAAAAACACAGAAGCTACCACCTCTGTAGATGCTAGACCTTGAACAAAGATAGTGCTTGGGGCATCCATGAGAGCCCCCAAACCCTCAACGGCCACCACATCGGGAACAATGGTAGTCACACGAAGGTCCCCGCATGTTCCTTTCATGACAATAGCAGTGGGGTGAGGCTTGACCCAAATCCCTAAAGCCTAAACCCTACAAATTAGGCTTTTGATCATGACATCCCACAGAGGCCGAGCACGCCAGGTTCCGCGGGGATGGATGCCACTGAGCTTCAAAAAGCATACCAAAACTCAATTCTCATGGCGCTGCCTCAGGTTCGGTGATTTATTTTAGGGAGTTTCGGTTCAAATTACATGCGCTAGCAACCATAAGCCTTAAGCACTTCCCTAGACCCCGTTGAGTTGCATTGGACCCTCTGGATTACTTCACTCTCCTTGTATCTCTTGGGTTTAGGGTTTTTCGGGTTTAGGGTTTAGGGTGACATTGCAGCAAAAACGGCTTGAGCCTCGACTCACCTTTCAGCCGCAATGATGGTAGTTCTCTACATGAGGGTCCCTTTCAGGGTCCTTGTTGAAAGAATGCCGTAAAATTTTGGGGACTCAATAGGGACCCTAATTTAGAGAACTACCCATGAATCGTGGCTCATTGAAATTTTGGTTTGCGGTACTTTAAATCCAAAACTAGACAGCTTCTGGCGTAGGCAGCGTAAGTTGAAACCAGAAACCCTGTTGCACAATCGGACAGAAGCAGGGGACGGAGTGCTACAGCTAACTATTGGATTTTCATGAGCCCTAACACATAGGGGGCTGAATAAATCAGAATGTGGTTTTAGGAGTATTTATGGTACATACTTCTATGGAGATTATAAGGGGAATACTAATGCTACTTGTTCCTACCTCATATATATATATATATATATAGTTGTCATGCACTTTTCTCAGCCCCTGTAAGCATTGACTTAGGCGCTGAGTCGGTAACCTTTAACCTTTAGGGGCATATAGAATCCTACTATAAGTCAAAACCCTGAGGGTCCATGTACCCAAATAGTATATACATTAGCCCCCAAGTACGTATATAGGGACTACTTTAAGGGCAAAGTATATCTTTTTGGGTACATGGACCCTTAAACCCTAAACCCTAAACCCTTCTGGTACCCTCATAGAACCCTTAAAGGACCCCTTTAAAGGAACCCTATTTGGGTACATGGACCCTTAGGAACGGTACCTGTTTTAGGCTAGGGTACTTAGTAACTGTAGGGTTATAATTAAGGTATCTATACTTATAATTACTTATAACCCCAATTAAGGTACTTCTAACCCTACTTACTAAGTCCCATGATCCTCCAAGTAGGGTGCTCAGCCTCTTAGTTGAGCATCTTTGCGATCCCTCAAGCTGGACGCCCTTGTCGATGTCGTCTCGGTTCGGCGTATGCCTGAGTGAGCTTAGGGTTTAGGGCTTCATTGAGCACTCTATGCACATCTCGAAGCTTGAACCCTAAACTCTAAACCCTAAACCCTAAACGAACAACTTCAACCCCAAAAGGACAAGATTAAAGCCCAAAGCTCGAGACGCGGACCAGATTCCAGTTGAACCTCTGTATGCCTTCGTCAACCGCTACACAAGCCCCTCCTATGTCTGGAAGGTTCTCAAAAGAGCTTAAACTAAGTCATAAGAGCCCCTTTTTGGGGTAAGGGGGCAGGGGGGCCGGAGATTACGTTTCCATAAACAGACCTTACTCGACCATTGTCGGGTCCTTATCAGAGGGACTAAGGCCCCATACCCCCCTCGTTAAACTAAGTAGGGCTGAACACCCGAAACCCCGCAAGCCCCAGACCCCTCAGCCGTAAGCCCAAAGCCTTAAACGCGAACCCCACGCTCGATCTGCGAAGGCATTTTTGAATCTCATCTCAGAGGAACATTCGGCTCTGCTGCAGATGGCCGCCGGTCATCAGCAGGCAGGTTAGGGCTCGGGGGTAAGTTTTTCCGGGTTTTCGGCTCAGGGGTTAGGGGCCTTGATAATTAGAATAGTGTTTGGGGTATTTTATACTATAATTATACTAAGGAACCCCCAAAACCCTAGTCTAATTATTGAGGCCCCTACATTAGGGTTATAGGATAGAGGACAAGCTTGCGATCTTGGGTTTCCCGTATTGTTTTTGGAGGGGGGAGCTTCGGGTGTTGGAGTGAGTCCTTCAGCGGTTTGAGAATACGGACTCTGGATACGGTTGATGATATAAATCCTGCATGACCCATAATAAGGAATATACCATAATTCCCATAGTTAGGGTCCTTTACGGTCATGCAGGATTTATATTATCAACAGTAGTTTGTGGGTGTGTTTTTTGTTTACCTGGGTCTCTTGTTTCTAGAAGCTCCCAAATTTTGGGCGCCAGCCAATCTCCCAAGACACTTGTAATGAACTTCCGGCTCTTCGTGCTTTTCGATTGTGGTCTCAACCCCAAACCCTAAACCCGGCGCCCCAATCTCCCGCAAGCAGTAAGAAGGACCTGCATGCAGCACTTTATGAGGCTGCACCATGCCACAATTAGCCCATAATCGATATCCTTAACTTTATTTAAGGTTTAGGACCTCAGGCTTTAGGTCTGACGGTCCAGGGTTGAGGGCTCTGACTAGTCATAAACCGTATCGATCCCCACATAGAGCATTCAGGTGACCGAATCTAGGGTATCGAAGCCGTTTTAATGTGTTATGCGTAATTTAGGTAGAATTAGCGGCGCTTACACGGATTTAGAGCCTAAGCCCTAAACCCCTTATACTTTCAGCAACTCAGAAAAGCTTGATCTCTAAGACCTGCAAACCACCCTAAACCCCAAAACCTAAGCCCTAAACCCTCAACCCAAAGCTCCCCCCCTAAACCCTAAACCCTAAACCCTAAACCCTAAACCCTAAACCCCAAACCAGGCGTGGGGACACCGACTCGATGCGACCTTCAGTAAGCTGGCAAGCCTCACCAGCGATCCTCAGCCGGTCCAGAAGAGATTCGAGCTTAACGGAACCTTCTTTAGGGTTTAGGGCTTACCAGGACCCCCCAATGGCCCTTTAAAAAAGCCCTTATGGTCCTTAATAGTGGGTATTTAGGATATAATAGAGGGTAGTTGGGGGGTGCTGGTAGGGTTTTGGGTTTAAGGTTTTTGGTTTAGGGCTTATAGGGGCTTAGGGGCTTTGGGGTTTTGGGGTTTGGGGTCTACTGTAGCCGTAAGTGGTCCCCAATAGTAGGTATTTAAGGTCTCATCGGGAATACATGGAGTGTCTAGGAAGTTTGTATGATTCGGGGTTTAAGGTTAGGGGGATCGGGCTACAGGGGTTTAGGGTTTAGGATTCAAGGGTTAAGGGTTAAAGTTTGGGGTGCAGCCTAGCTAGTTTGGGTCCGTTATCGCCGGATACTTCCATAGTCGAGTCTTGGTACGGTTTTGACTCTAAACCCGATAAGCCCAAAACCCTAAACCCTTGGAGGCGAACTTGTGCAACAAGCCGAGCATAAAGCTCGAAAATCATAAATCCGAAGGCTCAAGCCCTAATGCCTAAACCCTCAACGCCAAGCTTGGGCCCCTTGCTCTTGGACTCAAGGCCTTCAGGGTTTGGGGCTTCGGGGTTTGCGGTGAGATTGGCCAGAAGGGTTGGGGCTTAAGGCTAAGGGGGTTAGGGTCTCGAGTTTAGGGCTGAATGTGTTGGGCAGTTAGGGTTTAGGGTTTAGGGTTTAGAGTTTAGGGCTGAATGTTTTGGACAGTTAGGGTTTAGGGTTTAGGGTGTAGTCTTTCAGCGGTCTAGAAAAAATCAGGCGGTCCCAATGACAAACCTGAAGCCCCAAAACCCTAAACCCTAAACCCTGAACCCTGAACCCTAAACTAGACCCTAATCCCCAGAAGTCGGCCAAGATCCCAAATCCCAGGAGCTGAGCGCTGTGTCTACTCCTTCGGTCAGAACCATGGCATGGTCGGGTAGGTTTTGGATTTGGTGTTTACCTTAAGAACCCAAAACCCACTTTTTAAGGTTCTTAATATAAACCCTAATATGGGATTTATAGGGACCCTACAAAATAGTAGGTTTTGGATTTGGTGTTTAGGGTTTCGGGATTCGGGATTCGGGCGTAGGGTTTAGGATTTAGTGTTTAGGGTTTCGGGATTCGGGATTTGGGTAGGGTTCTGAATTTGGTGTTTAGGGTTTCGGGATTCGGGATTCGGACGTAGGGTTTTGGATTTAGTATTTAGGGTTTCGTGATTCAGGCGTAGGGTTTAGGATTTAGTGTTTAGGGTTTCGGGATTCGGGCGTAGGGTTTAGGATTTATAAGTTTAGGGTTTCGGGATTCGGGGTTTGGGTGTAGGGTTTAGGATGTATAATGTTTAGGGTTTCGGGATTCGGGATTTGGGTGTAGGGTTTAGGATTTATAAGTTTAGGGTTTCGGGGTTTGGGTGTAGGGTTCAGGATTTATAAGTTTAGGGTTTCGGGATTGGGGTTTAGGATTTTGGTGTGTTTCGGCAAAACAACTCTAAGACAGTTGCGGAGACTGAAAATCCGAAACCTCCAAAACCCCGGCGCAGAATATCTTGCCACCTAAACCCTAAACCCTAAACCCTAAACCCTTAAACCCTAAACCCTAAACCCTAAACCGTAAACCCTAAACCCCCTAAACCCTAAACCCGAAACCCGGCACAGAGTCCGTAGCCCGGAAAGAGTTCAGAGGCTCCTTCTCGCCCCCTACTTGGAGGATCATGGGACTTAGTAAGTACATTTATAAGTACCTTACCCTGAGGGTCCATGTACCCAAATAGTATATACATTAGCCCCAAAGTACTTAAATAGGGACTACTTTAAAGCCAACGTATATCTATTTGGGTACATGGACCCTTAGGGTTAGTAAGTAGGGTTATAAGTACTTTAATTGGGGTTATATGTAATTATAAGTATAGTGACCTTAATCATAACCCTAGTTACTAAGTCCCATGATCCTCTAAGTAAGGGTCCAAAGGACCCAGTAATGGGGTACGTTGGTTGCGGATAGTAGGTATCTAGGGTTTAGGGTTTAGGGTCTAGGATAATATTTGGGAGAGTGTGTGATTCTTAGGTACTTGGACCCTTAGGGCTGGGGGCCAGAGCACACAGAAGCTCTGTGCGGCAAATGCCTATCCCTAAGCATTCCAGGACTCCTTATGATAATATAGGGGCCTAGATAATTAACTATACTATTTCGGTGGCTTCTTATTAAAATTACTGTATAATATACCCCCAAAACCCTATTCTAATTACTAAGGCCCCTACATCAGGCCCGTTTTAGATGTCAAAAGCTACAAATAGCGACGGCTTGGACCCTTAAGGTGTGCTCTCTAGGGTATCATAAGATCTTGGGTTTCAGGATAAAGGGGTCCATGTGTGCGTAGGGTAATTAGCCCGTTTCTTCCGTTAAAGAGAAGCAAGAGTGAAAAACAAAAACTATTGAAGAAAAATCCTCAAGCCCAAGTCTTGCGACCTGCGACTGTGTTTTGTAAGGGCCGAGCTCAGGATTTTGGGGCTGCCGGCGTTCAGGGCGCCTGTTTTTGGGTGTTGGGGTGGGGGAGGGGGTCTCATCGATGTGGGCATTGTCGGTGCTGCTCGTTTTATGTCTCTTCTATGTCTCTTCTGACAGTTGTAGTCGTGGTCGGCGTCGTTGTGGTAGTAGCAGTTTAGTAGTAGTAGTAGTAGTAGTAGTAGTAGGAGTAGCAGCAGCAGCAGCAGCAGCAATGTTAATCTAGCTAAGAACAATACGAATAGTAAACATTTGATAATTAGAATAATATTAATAGCAATAGGGAC